ATTTTTGCATGAAGGTGTGCAACTGCATCTCGTAGGCCCAACTGTCCAAGCACAGGTGAGACTGCAGCTAGCCGGTGCATGGGGCCGCGAAATCTTGTGGTGCAGATCTGGTGACGCAGAGCCAGTAGTGCGTGATCACGTAGGCGTGCAAGTGCGAATGAAATTCGTAAGCTGCAGGTAGCGTCAAGTAAGTAGACGTGCAAGTACATGAACGTTCCTGCCCGCTCTGCTACGCTCTGAAAGAAAACAACGGTTTCATATCGCACGGGCCCTGGCGTGATCCTACGCCATTTACTAGAACTTGCGCCAGCCGCATGGCACACCACTTACGCCAGACATCAATAATCTTCCGCCAGGTGGAAATCCTATTGGCACACCGACGGTCAAAGTGGACTAATTCTGATGCAGGCAACTCAAATATATCTATTTATTATGCGTTTAATGTACGCTTGCTGACCAAAAGTTGACAACCATATGCCTGCTTGAACAGTCACAACTATCATCCTCCGCATGGCACACAAAATTTCATGGCATTTCCAACGTACAAACTTGGATGTGATCGACGTTACATTCCCATGGTTTTTACGATACATTCTACTTCATGCCAATCAACCGTTTCATCCACTTCCCCGTGGCACACTGCTGATCAATAGGCGCTGCCCATGTGGGCCTTTCCCCGCCCCATAGGCACACTACGATTTGGCACAAGATCTTGTCATCGGGACTTGTTACAACATCGACCCAGTAACGTCAATTGAGTGCGCAAGGGCAAGAAAGAAATTGCCTCAAACCACATCCACCCCCACCTTTTTTCTAGCACAACCCCATGGAGACACCAACTTCACGTGGATCCCAAAAATATGTTCAAATTCAAGGGTTCATGCGGACACCACATGCGGGCGCACTTTTTGCGGTTGTTTCAAACATGTGTCGATGCGCAAGGCACCATGGTACACCGTACCCAAAGATATTTTAGGACAGATACCCTTGTGAGCACATCCCATTAACCATGTTCATGGAGGTCCCAAAGTTATGATGTTCAAATTCAATCATGCCATGCTGACGCCATATCGTGAGACATGTTTTGCGGTTGAGTCAAATATATTCAACTGCAAAACACCACGGGACACCGCATCCGAAGATATTGGAAGTGCAAAACGCCATGGGCCACTGTATCCAACTGTATTCTGAACTATTTTTTCTGTTTTATCTGCGTGACAAGAGTTGGGAACAGAACTGATGGCGGCACATGCAATCAGAATCCACGCGCCCCTGGAAAAGATGCGACTATGCCACTATATTATACTATAACAACAAATGCTGCATGCCTGCGCACCAGAACCGCAAGGGGACACCGTTTACGCACGACGTGACACAAGCACCTGCACCCAGTATAACCTTGGAGATGTGAGCTCACCACTGACATGCTTTCGGCCCCGCCTGTGCCACAACACCTTCGCTTCAACATGCGCTGCTGCTGGCAAAGTCAAAAGCCAAAGCGGGTATGCTGAACACTTTTGCTGTAACATGCGCTGCTGCTGGCAAAGTCAAAAGCCAAAGCGGGTATGCTGAACACTTTTGCTTTAACACGCGCTGCTGCTGGCAAAGTCAAAACTGGTGCACGATGTATGTCCAAAGCAAGTTACGCCATCTCAAGCCCTTCCACCGGGCGGAGTAGGTGGCGCAGGGAGGCCACTTTGGGATGGAGATGGTGCTGGCGCAGCGGCGCTGTGGCCGCGCTCCCCTGGCTGAACACTGGTGGACCGCTGCTCTTCATTATACAAGCCACGTCTCTCTGACACTTGTCTGAGAGAGACCCGGCCACACTGCAAAATGTCGTTGTGAAACAAAATTTGGTTTCTTTTCGAGTTGCTCCACGACTTTAAGACCAACGTAGACTCCTTGCTTGAAACATTCAAAGAGCCAATGCGTGGATAGCGCTGCACCGCCTTCTGCAACACAGACTTGACCTGTCCAGTAAACAAATCTGTGTGTTCACACATGGCATCCTCAGTGCAATGAATCAACATCTTTGTCTTTTTGTCTTGCACCTTGTACCTCAAATCTGATTTCGGAATTAAATGCCTAGACTAAGTATCTCGCACTGTGGAAGTAAGGACTGCACCTCGATATTTGCAAATCATAATTGAAAATATGAAAACAACAATCTTGAATCTTAAATGTAAAAGCACGCATAAGGTCTTTGATGAGGTAGAATTATCTTCAAAAAAAGGCCCATGGCCATTGAAGCGCTTTGCTATAGCTCTTTCAGAATCCGAAACAAGTCCTGCTCAGGGAACCACCCTTGCCAAATGCGTTCAACCTTCCGTGCCGCAAAATCGATGAAACTGAAACACCATTGACTGCATATGGCATATGGCCCCACAAGTCGCCCACAACACGGGCAAGAACAGAATGGGTCTGAGCAAGGATTAGTTTGGGCCACAACTGATGTCGAAGACAAGACTTGCCTTGGCAATTGTTGGTCTGACTTTCTTGCGCTTCTTGTCCTTCCCCGTTCCGATAGTCTGCACCACATGATAAAGATCCACTAGCTTCGAAACCTTGAACTCGCTGCCCCCGTGAAGAAGAATTTTTCGAAGAAGCTGACGGTCTTGCAGAGGGGAGGGAAAAACCATCTCATCGTTGTCCGCCAGCCCTTTCTTGAAGAAAGGCTCTTCCGGAAGGATGTCCTTCCAGGACAAAATTGTGGGCAAAGGCTCCTCGCTAGCCTCATGGTGGTCTGCAGAGTCCTTGCGGGCGGACAGGAGATGGGAAGCCCAACCTAGACTCCGAACTGGACTATCGGACGATAGATATAAAAAGTTGCACAGCTTTCGCAAGGTGATTTCTGAAGAATTCGCGAATGCCCTGTTGCCTCAGCATTCTTTCCTTCTTATTCTACAGATGCAATGTGCATGCTTGTATGTGTGTGTGTATGCGCGTGCGTGCGCGTGCGTGCGCGTGTGCCACCTGAAGAGATGTAAAACTTTACCTGCTGTGCCGTTTCATGTTTTTTCTGCACATCAAATATTGAGAGCACGGGGCGACAAGGTCGCTGCATGGCTGTCGCCAACAAAGCCCGACTAAAGGATATGATGGCTGATCACCGCGACGTACCTGCCTTTGCATTGTCATTTTCCTTCAGAAGGCACTGAATTCCAAATGTCCTGCATGCCGACCGGCTAAGCGTAGAACCGGAGAATCTGAAGAATCCATCCAGGATGGAACTTGGCTAGAAGGAAGAGATGGGATATTTGATATACCTTCCATTCTCGTTTTAGGGTTTTTGTTCTGCTGTCGTTTTGTATGGATGATGCATTGCAGTGCCATTTTAATATTCAATAGAAGTGCCTGTTCAATAGAAGTCCCTGAGCAAAAGTGTGTGTGTGTGTGTGAAACGCCGGAAAACAAACGTAAAACTTCGATGGTGGCGCATTCCGCGGGGGTCGGTGATCAACGAAGACACCTCCCCGGGACCCGTGTGCGCGTACCTGTTGGGCTTTGGTGGTGCACCTGGGCGCAGTTAAGTCGCACCTGGTGGCCACCATAGCCTATCTATCTGTATATATATATATATATTCTGGTCATTTACTACTATATATCTTGTCGAATTGCACATTATGGGATTCAGTTCCCAACGGATCACTTCAATGATCCAGTTCTTGTCTAGGGTGTATGTGTGTGCGTGTGCATGTGCGTGGGCGTGGGCGTGTGCGTGCGCGTGCGTGCGTGCGTGTGTGTGCGCGCGTGCGTGCGTGTGTGCGTGTGCGTGCGTGGGTGTGTGTGTGTGGGCTTGGGTTTTGATTTGAGGCGCTATGGTTAGAAATATTGAAACATTCAAGGGGCCATGAGGAACTATAGGGGAATCAGCCAGCAAAAACGCTGCATTTCTGCGCAAAAGTATCTGGGGTAGTCCATGGGCGGCGGCACGCGGGAGCATCAGAAAATTTCATCGCTGTTGGTTTTTATCGCCAAAGATTCCGGTGATTATATGCAAGCATGCTTTGGCTCCACTATTGCTTCGCGTCGGCCTTCTTCCGGCAGGTAGGATTTGTCAAATCTTTGAACTCAAACCCTGCAGAACAAATTACGCACTATTCGACGGGGCCAAACTGGATTCAGCTTCACTTTTCAAAGCTGGTCCAAGCTGTGTATGCATTACATGCTTGCGTCTCTGCGCATGGGGACATGAATGAAGTCACAACAGTTGTTTTTTGTCACAAGAGCCATGACACTTGGATAGCACTGAGTTTTGACTATGTTCCCGCGCGTGCGCCTCGGGAGGGAGCAACTCTTCTTCCTCTGCCTCTGCCTCGGCAACTGCCTCTTCTTCCTCGGGTGGCAGCGCAGGCAATCCTTGGGTTGCCAGCGCCTCACCAAACTTGCGCTCATAGTTTCCGTGCACAGGTATCTCAGGGCGCTCCACATTCTCTTGATCGGAGAGGTCATCATCGAGGGGGAGGCGAAAAATATGTCGAATCTGCAAGGCAATCTCAACCAGCCGGCAGGCAACCTGCAGAGGGCTGCGATCGAATCAGGGTGGATCCGAAAGGTTTGGGTGCAGAAGGCTTCCACCATGGACCTCGTTATGAACCAAATAGGTGACACGGTTACACACGTCAGTTTTTCTTCAAAGTATTGAGAGCAGCAGACAGCAGAAGCACATAAGAGCATCTCACCTGCACATGCTCGGCTTTGATAATCAAGGCTCCGTTGGCATCGAAGTGTCCACCGCCCCCAGCCAGGTCGAGGACGGAAATGGCTGCAGCAAGTTGCCCCTGGAGTCCGGCGGCATTTGCATGCATCGCTTCATCTTCACCTGTCGCAGCTTGCTGGGCCCTCACAGATTGCGCCACTTGATTGCCTGGAGGCGGCGCGGCACAAGCATGTAGCCGACAAGACACAATGAAATTTCGCCGTGGCAGGCGCCAAAAAAAATTGGCGATGCAAAAGTAAAAACTTCTAGTGACCAGGTGCCCAAGAGCAGCCTGCGCCCCTCAGATTCCATTTCCAAGACGGAATGTGGACGGCTGCGAATGCTGACAAACACGCTTCGCGCCTTCCTTGATGTGATCAGTAGGATCTGCCAGAGTCCATCTGCTGGAGATACGAAATTCTGTGACCAGAGCCTGTCCTGCAAGATCGCTCCACTCGAAACTGAAAGCAAAGTTTCTAAGGGAGGGCATGGTTGCAGGTATCTGGTGTAATTGATAAAAGAATCTTCTGTGAAAGGTTTGACTTGAATGAAATAAAAAGATTGGTCCATCCAAAGTTATTGGGGCCTGGTTGACGCACATAGCGCACACGGGATGGCACCCCATCTGGCAAAACCACCGGAAAACCATGTGGCGGGCCCTCTGTTTCAAGACCCGGCTGGTCAATGTCTTCCACATCATCATCCTCAGTCACCTGGAGGCTACCGGCTTGCTTGAAGTATGCCGGGTTGTTCAGCAAGTCTTGCCACTGAAACACCTTGGCCTGCAAGGGAGTGAGCGGAAGCCAAGTGTACCGACTTCCGCTGCTGGACGTAATGTGAGGAGGCAATTTGTCATGGCGTGCAACAGAGTGGTCTGTAACCAGCAAGAACCTCTCTTTGCACGCCACTGTGTGATTTCCGATGAGCCCACGTTCCATAGCCACCACCCTCTTGGGATGCCCATTTCCCAAGACACTTAGAGAAATTGGCTTTGCTCGAACACCTTCGCCGTAGTTGGTGGATGTGCGTGTGGCGCGCTTAGTCCGACCCTGGTTGATCAATGTGTTCAGCATGGAGGCATGGGGATTCACACCAGAAGTCTTGTCGCCGGTTAATCCAAAGAGATCCCAAAATTCGTAAGCTTCGTCGCAATTTATGCATTGGCCCCACCACAATCTAGTGGTCTGGACGTCGCGCTTTGAAGCGCCTACCTCGGCAAGGCTGGTGGCAAACCGAAGCAAAAAGAACACTTACTGCAAGCACTCTGGATGTAAGTGTAGAAGCTATAAGCAGACCTTCCATACTCAAAGTGGCGAAAAAAAATCATTCGTGCTAATCGAATCAATGTCTAGAAAATCTCCGTTCTGTTTGGGTTCATCACAGATGTTCTGGTGCTACACAACGGTGACGCCGACATGCTGGAAGACATGAAGTTACAAATGGTAGCGCGACATGCAGCATGAACATGAAATCGCAACGCCCTTCTGATTGAGGCCATGCCCGGCCTGCACCTGTGGGTAGTCACAGCTGCACCGAAAGAACATTTCGGTGGCTGTGCGCGACTGAATAGCCATCGATTTGACTTGCACCGGCAATTCATCTGCACCCTCTGGCTGAAGCGCACGCGCATGCTCATGTGCCATCTGCTCAACAATGTCGTCGCAGACTTCCATCAACACCTCACATGTTTGGAACAATCTAGATTTGCCCCGTTGGGGTGGTGCTATGTGAAACACCAAAAGGGCCAACGGTGAGGCTTTCTGCGTCCACAGACGAATTGCAGCTCCGTTTGTTAAGCACGGCATTGCCCCACAGAGCATCATAGTCGTGACGTATGTTCCCTGACATGTTGCAGTGGAAATCGGTTGAACGAAGTCGCGTATGGCTGCGGGTAGGTGGCTCTCATCAAAATTGGATTCCACTACTGAAATGGCGTTCTTCATGAGCGCGTCCAGCTCTGCAGAAGAAATCTCATCTGCAAGCTTGTTCGACATCTTTCCAAACCTGAAATTGAACTCGCAAAAGAGAATCACGGTCTAGAGGTTTTGTTCAACAAGGCCAATGTCCCAAAAAAATGCATTCTTCGAGTGACCCCAACCAAGCGGCATTCTATCTGACATAAATTTTGACATTCTCTTTGGCATTCTACCTGAAGTTTCATCCAGCATTGAACCTAATATTCGGACATTATATCTGATAGTGAGCCTGGCATTCTATCTGGAAAAGGTTTTGCCATTTTATCTCACATCCTCTCTGGCATTATTGCTATCTGACATATACTCTTGCATTTTATCTGGACTCTGCCATATATGTTGATATTCTATCTGTCTGGCATCCTCTCTGGCATATATTCTGGCATCCCATCTGGCCTGCATTTTTGCAATCTATCTGACATTTTATCTGGCATTCTGTCTGAAGTTTTATCTGGCATTCTTTCTGGGACTTCCATGTGACAATTTATTTTTTTTACATATCTGCATGTGGCATCATCTGGCATTTCATCTCACATGTCTTCGGACATTCTTTCTGAGATTTTATCTGCTCTAATATAGAAACATTCCATCTGGCATTCTTTCTCACATTCCTTCTGGCACATGTCGGGGTCCGTGTATGCCCATATAGTGATTTGGAGCTCGCTATCAATATTATCAATTTGAAATTCAGCGCGTGCCTCTGTAAAGGCTTCGAGGCTTAAAAAGCTAGAGACACTGACTTGGCAGGTGGGGAATGATGCGACAGAAGCAAGTTAACCGAGGAAAGTTCACCCGCGCCGAATTGGAATGGAGAACTGCATTGGTTTCGCAAGTTAAGACTTTTTTGTTGGACGGATACATTCCGGAAAACATCTGGCCTGTATTCAGCAAAGAATCCCGAGGAAGCTTTCCTGCAGCAGCGGTTTAATGTGATTCAAATGGGCTGCAGAGAAAAAGGACGGAATGAAGAGCGTGTAGTAAAAACAGATTCGAGAAAGTGTTGGATACCCCTAGCCACACCGACCTGCCAGGACTGCAGTGGGTCCTCCCAACTACAGGGTTCCCAACCCACAGAGGGCCGTATGGTTTAAGGAGTTTTTCATCAACAAAAATGGCGTTGTCGCTACAGCGAAACGTCTTTTTTTTTTATCATGTTGACGTGAAAAATAGGGTTTTGAAAATCTCCAAAACTACTTCGTTTTTTGACATAAGTTCGTGTTTTCCTTTGGAAAATTGAAAGCGCACATGCAAACACATGTCAAAACATAAACTAACTATAACATAACTATGGAGCCCGAACCCCAGTGCGTATCCCCGAAAAAAAAATATATTAATGTCTTCCCGGGGTCTCACCATTCCCGAGTCCCTGCAAAGACATTTTATCAGGGGTTGTATCCCAGTCTAAGCTATAAATGTCTTCCCGGGGTCTCACCATTCCCGGGTCCCTGTAAAGACATCTTATCAGGGGTTGTATCCCATTACAAAATATATCTAAAACACCACTCCAAGATGACCATAGCGTAGCATGACTATAACATAACAATGAAACCCGACACGACTACGTATCTGCGAAAGAATATATATATATTAATGTCTTCCCGGGGTCTCACCATTCCCGAGTCCCTGTAAAGTCATCTTATCAGGGGTTGTATCCAATTATAAAACAAATCTACTACACAACCCCAAGCTAACCATAGCGTAGCATGACGTGTGTGTGCAAGTGCAAGAGAAGATAACCATAACGTAGCATGACGTGTGTGTGTGTGCAAGTTGACATGAACGTCATACATTGCCCCACCCCACCCCACCCAACCCCACCCCAAGATATAACAATAACATAGCATGACGTGTGTGTGTGTGCAAGTGCAAGAGAAGATCACCATAACGTAGCATGACGTGTGTGTGCAAGTTGACATGAACGTTTTTGTCCCACCCCACCCCACCCAAGATAACCATAACATAGCATGACGTCTGTGTTCTAGTTGACATGAAAGACCATCAAAAAACAAAAAAATGTCAAAAAATGCTTAAAACACCGCGGTCTTGTATGGGCCGGGCTCCAACTACAGCTCCTCTCAGATTATGTCATGATGCGGCATGTCCAAAGCATTTCATTGACTGCACAAGCCACACATGGTCTGGCCTGTGTCGCAAATCAACGACAGCACAGCAGCGGTGCCAAACTTTCGATAGCCTGTACCCGCAGGCGTGCAAGTCGGTTACATGTGGTACGGCAGCAGCCGCCAAGAGACAAAAGGCAGAAAGGAGCGGGGACGTAGGAAACACATAGCAGAAAGAAATCGATTGACTCTGTCGCCAAAAGCAAAGGAAAAAACATGTCCAAATACATGTTTCGGTACCAAGGCCGCAACGGATCATGACATCATGGCGCTTCGCAGTTCTGCACAAACGGCCCCGCCTTCTTCCAGGCACAGACCAATGACGGCACCCCAGCGCAGCCACCAATGGCAGCCAACGGGTGTTTGCAACGATTATATAAACGTAACTGCACAAGATGAGACATCACTGATCACAGAAAACGTGTAAATATCATCAATAGAATTTTAGAAAGGGCAGATAGTCACGGTAGTTGACACCTGCTTGTGACTGTTGGATGCTCAAACACTTGGGCCCTAAAAATCAAAAAATGGCACGGTGTGCCCTGCAGAGCCAATGAAACATCTGAATAGTTAGTATCTCTCATCGACATCATCAGCATCCCGACCACAACCACTATCACCATCATCATCATCATCATCACCTCCACCATTAACATTACCGTGGAAACATGGGACGTTCAGCTGAAAGTGAATATTTCGGAGCTGCATTCACTTGCGTTTTTTTAGCACAATTGCGATTGGCAGCAAAAACGAACGTTAATTCCTTGCAAACATGAGTTAGAACAGAAACACCTGGTTATGCATGTTCCATGTCAAAATCCACCACAACCATAAGGTTGAGCGCATGAGAGAAGTAGCATCAAGAGCGTGTTGCGTGGTTGCTTGAGAACATCGAGGGCGTAGCATCAAGAGCGTGTGACATGCTGCTTGAAATAGTTAAGCGCGTAGCACCAAGAGCCTGCAAGTTGCTTGAGAAATTTCGGAACATAGCGCCAAGGAACCTCTTTTGAATTGTTCAGAAAGTTGAGGGCCCGAAAAGGTTAGCACCAAGAGCGTGCAGTAAGTTGCTGGAAAAAGTTGAAAGTGTGGGATCAAGAGTGTGTTGCCAGTCGCCTGAGAAGCTCAAAGAGTAGCAGGAAGAGTACGTTGCAAGTTGCTTGAAGAGGTTCAGAACGTAGCATCAAGAGCGCGTTGCAAAGCTACCTGGGAAAGGAAAGAGCATAGCACCTAGCACCATGCAGGAGCGTGTCGCAAGTTGTTCGAAAAAGTTAAGAAGTTCGCATCAATTGTTTCTATAACAAACGCAGGAAACAGGTGGCCGGCTGGCCGGATGGCCGGGTGGCCGTGGCCGGGTGGCCGGGTGGCCGTGGCCGGGTGGCCGTGGCTGTGTGGCCGGGTGTCCGTGGCCGGGTGGCCGGGTGGCCGGGTGGCCGGTGGCCGGGTGGCCGGGTGGCCGGGTGTGCCGTGGCCGGGTGGCCGTGGCCGGGGTGGCCGTGTCCGTGGGTGGCCGTGGCCGGGCCGTGGCCGGGATGGCCGGCAACTAAAAAAATCTATTGTGAGTTGCTACGGCAAACCTAAGTCGCGACTCGGAATGGCAAGGGTTGGCTGGATTTTCAGCCAAGAATGATAGCGATATACTGGGCATGGAAATCTGATCTCTGGGTTTGTCCAGAAAAGGTGGATGTATTCCCAATTTATGGCCAAGAAAACGTTGGGAAAATTATGAGAGACAAATATGTTTTGCAAAACGAACATATATATATATATACATATATACATATATATATATATATTTGTAGGACAAGTGTTTGAATGCTGATTTTTTTTCACAGCTAAGAATTGGGGGAGGCTTTCCCAACTTGGACTGGCACTACAACAGAGCAACATCGATGGAAAATCGAGGCTTTGGCGAGGCAAACTCCTATGATTTGGCGACATTCCACGATATTCTTCATTGCCTAAAAGTCCTAAGGCCGTACTTTCTGAGTCCTTGCCGAAAGTGGCACAAAAAAAGGATTCACTCGCGATTTCTCACAATTTTAGAGCCGCTATATGTACCTTTTAGGTTATTAGGTCCCGTACCTTAAAAAGGGCCGTCTCGGGACGTACTTTTTGAGGTCCCACTCATCATGGAGATTTACATTGAGCAAGTCTGATGTCTAAAACATATACCCTCTGGTTATGACTAACATAGCCATGGAAAATCACTATTTTCATAGGTAAACCATCTATTTCGATTAGGGCCATCTATACCATGGCTATGTTACATAACCAGATGGTAATCTTACAACATTATTTCGCAACCCCACTAAGTAATGCCTAGCCTGGCCCCTAGATTTTCCAAGCAGCTCAAGGTCGACCGCGATTGGTGACATGGGCCTGATCCAACGCGTTCAGAAACAGATCAACTGTGGTAAAGTCGTGCGAAAATGATATGCTTGCACTAGTCTACATCATCTGAAACTATCCTGATTTACACATGATGTAGATCCAAAAGTGCCACTTGATGCCCTTGTGAAGAAAAAAAAAATGATCTACTTGAAGTACCAAAACGGTAAGCTTGAGACTCTGTCAAAGGTAGGACTTACAAACAACCTTATCAGCAAAAGCGTCCATGTCCATGTCGTCAGATGTTCAGAACATTCTGCGACATTCACCAAGAACATCTGCAGAGCTTCTCTCTTAAATGGAGACATCATGATGTCGCAAACAAAAGGGGGTCAGCCAACAGATCTGTATAACTCCAACAAGAGGATTCAGGAAGCTAACTTACCCATTCAGAGACCACCAAATATATTATAGAAGTATATATATATATAGCTATATACGTATATCTTATATACATGTAAAGGAACAAATTAACATCATTGATTTGTCATAGATGCTGTCTGTTGGTCTTAT